TTCAAACATTTTTGGAAACACATATCAAAAGAGACAAAAAAATTAAAGATGAAGGAGAGGAGAGGAGCTGCATTTGTCTAGTGTAAGGCATCCAGTCATTGTATGTTAAACCAACTACCAGCCTTCAGAACCATGAAGTGCCTGGCAAGAGCTGATGTATGCCAGAGGGTAACTTCACTGCTATAATGAGAGATCTCTGATATAATAATTAGCGTATTTACAAGTTTAAGGGGAAAAAATAGCTGAGACCATACTAAAATGTTTTTTCTCAGTTTTTTTCATGGTAAAGGACACTGCAGAAACTTGACTAGAATAACTTAGCATTCTTTTTTGAGAGGTGAGGAGTTAAGGGGGTTTTGGTGAAGACAGTCTGACGAGAAGTGAGAGAGCTGAAGAACAGCAAGTCTGGTGTTAGAGACGGTTAGTGGTAAAACTGAATATATAGAAACCTATCTGTCAATTACAAAAACCATTCTTTGACCATGGATTAACAGAAGAAAAGTTTAACTTGCAGTGAGACAAAACCTATGTTTGAGTCTTAGTTCTACAACTATGACTTTAGCAAATATTTTAATTTCTCTGAGACTATTTCTTTACCTCTATTTATAAAGGGTATTTTAAACTTTTCATTATCTTCATCATTTCTGATATGATACATATATACCAAATAAATAGAAAATGCAAATCCACATTTGGTTTTTTATATATACACTGCTCATACATTTAATTGTGCAAATCTGAAAAATGGCTAGTTTTTAATATCTGATCTCAAATGAAGAAATAGAGAATTCATTTGTTAAAAGTGGTGCCCAAATCATGTGCTATATTTTAAATCATGTCATTCTATTATTTAGTATTTATCAATTTTTTTCTTCTTTATTGCTTTGTTTTTCTATTACTGCTGATGTTTCAGGACAGTATTCTGTTCACTTTTATCTTATTGATAACCAAAACAGAGTATGGATCCTTCTGAATTTATATTTAGAAGTAAAACTGACTAGGTTTTCTTGAATTTCCAAAACTGTACCTCTTGGATGATAGCGAATGTGGAAATCAGGCATATAAAGAACAACAAAACCATCTTGGGATGTTGAATCTGAAAAAATTCCCAGGGGAGATGAGTTTCTCCAAAAACTGAGATGGCATCATGAAAAGAAAGGATTTCATTTATTTACTATAGTTCCAATGGTAGAAACAAACATATTTGGGCTCAACGAGTGGAAAGATTGTTGCTTCTTTTATAATGGTCAGGCAAGAGTTGTGGAAAGAGCATAGGATTATAGTTAGATGTTATTAAATTCAAATTTGTATCCCAGAGTCTTAGCTTTCCCACTTTTAATATGGAACTTATTCTTGGATCATGGAAGCCAAAGGATATGATAAATTGTAAAAGTATAATTTTGGTTAGATTTTTTTAAATCATTAAAGTCTAAGAGACAAATAAAAAATGTATAACAAATAGAAAATAGAAATAAAATAATATCCCAATTAATCCAAATTAAGAAAGGAAAAATAAAGAACCAAAAATTTAGGAAATAGACAAAATTAAAAGAGTACAGATCTAAACCAAAGTATGTTAGTAACTGCATTAAACATTAACAGACCAAATATTCCAGCTAAAAGACAAATACTGTCAAACTGGATTTAAAAATACTGTTTGATTCTTCTAAGATACACATCTTCTAAGGATACTGAAAGATTGAAAATAAAGGTTTGAACAAATAAAGCATACAAATAGCCAAAAGAAAGCTGAAGTAACTATACTAATATCAGCTAGACAAGAATTAGATAAATATTTTAAGAAATATTACTTTAGATTTAAAAATAAACATTTCACAAAAGTGGTCTATCCAGCAAGAAAAAACAGTTCTAAATCTGTGTGCATCTGTGAGTGTAGCTTCAAAGTGCATCTAATAAATAACAAAAATTAACAGAGAAATAAAAAAATCCACAGTGGGAGATTTTAGTATCTCTCTCTCAGTATGGAATAGGACAGACAAAATCTTAGTAGGAATAGAGAAAGCCAATCTGCCCTAATCAAAATAATATAGACTACTACATACAACTGCAGAACATACCCTCTTTCCACATGACCATGCGTGTGGTCATTTTTTTAAAAATCTCAACAAATTTCAAAGGATTAAAATAAAACAGGGTATGCACTCTAGAGTAGAATTAAACTAAAAGTTAGAAACAGAAATAAAACTAGAAAATTCCCAAACTTAAGGAAACTAAATCACATACTCCTAAATAGCCCATAGGTTAAATAAGAAATTTCAGTGAATACTATAAAATATTTTGAACTTGATAATGAAAATACTACTATTCAAAACTCAAGGGATGTCATTCTATAAGATTGCTACACTTAAGAAAATGATAGAGAAATTGTTGATGGTCTACACTATAAAAAGTGATGGAGAAAATAATGATGAAATTTTAAGGTATATTGCGTCTATAGCCATTACATTATGTATGGCACAAAAAATCTGAGGAAATATTCTTCCAGTATTCAAAAACTATGATTCAATTCAGCAAAGTCATTCACATAAATGAATGAAGTTCCAATGTATGTCATTGCTTCATTTCCATCATATTAAGTATCAACCAACATTCACATTGAAACTAGACTTGTTCATGTAGGATGTAAGCTATTTCTTTGCTGAATTGGATAGTAATCAAGCATTTATTTGAAGCAGTATTTTTCAAAACATGGTTGAATTCACTCATAGGTTGAAAATACAAGAGTTTGGCAAAAATCAAAGCCATTCCATGTGAATCAATTAGCTATAGGGAATTAACCATAAAGAGCATTGCATATTTTATTATTACTTCTAAGTTATGTGCTATACTTCCTTTACATCAGTAAAATTTATAACTTTTTAATGTATATGTGCATACAATGTTTTCCTTGAGACTGAGTTACCAGCAGGCCATCTGATAGAATGTCCTATTTACATAATAAACTTCATGTAAAACTCTCTGGCTTCCCCCAAATCCTAGAATATCAGAGCAACAGGAGAATTTACAGTCACTCTAATCTCCTCATTTTCCTCTTGTGAAAATGAAGACCCTCAGGGCCAAAAGGCTCACCCCAGGTTGCCCAGCTCTTTGGAGAGAACCAGCCTGTGGAGCAAGGGCGCAGTATCTGAAGAAAAGCTAAAACCTCACAAAGAAATCACCGAAGTGCTAAAGTAGTTCCAAACTAAAAGGTCAGCTTTCTAAGTGAGAGAATATAAATTATTCTATAAATTATTAACAAAGACAAAAGGAGGAAAAGTAATTAAGGGTTTTGATTTTCTGGTCTAGATCTAGAACCAATACATTGACATTCTAGTTCATTCTAAACCATGTTGCATTTATTTCTTCTATCCAAAGTTTGAAAGTTTAAAATCTGTCTAAAGGCAATAGGTATTACACAGGTATTGTAAATGCATTGAAAGAACATTTTAAGAACACAATTCTCTGTATGTATATTAGAAATTTATGGTCTTCCCATCAGAGATGATAAACATTTTTGATAATGAGAAACAACACTGCTTAACTCTTGACTTAAGGGGAAGTGTGAATGCATTGCATGGGAATCTTAGAAGAGATCACATGACTTCCATGACTTTCTAACTGGGGTTTGGTATATATGATCTGCACTACATCATGAAAAGATTTTAGGAGAATTAAAGCATGCAAGCAGTCTAGGTAGTAAAGCTAAGAGAGTGCATTTAGGTCCACAGTGAAAAAAGGGAAATACTACATTTTCCTTCTTTCCTTCACTGCTGGAGACCTCAGCAGAGGCTTTATGGTAGATGACGACATGGTGCAGTCTGGGTATTTATTCCAGAGCTGAGTTGCCACCATATTCTTCACTACATCCAGATGCTCCAGGCTATTCTCACCACCACAGAAAAGAAGTGACATCCCATGACCTTCACTCCCACATAAGCTGGACAGAGACTGGCAATTGCCATGATTCATTTCCACATCAATATATGATTCACACGATATACGGGAGACATCTGTTACTCAAATTCACTGTAGGTCAGAACTACTTCCCACTTCATAGGTTAACCTATGATTAAACATATTATAGTCTAGAGTTCGTGTTAACATTGCTATGGTTTAAAAAGCTGTGTTAAAATATCATTAAAGGGAGGCAGTGCAGTGTCAAGAGCCTGGGGCCACATCTGGACACTGCCACTTTTTAACTGAGTGATCTTGAGCAAGTTTCAGCTTCTCATCTAGGAAAGAGAATAATAATAATAATAATACCTCCCTATTGAGATTGTTGTGAACATTCAATAGGTTAATATATATCATGCACTCTTAGAACAGAGCCTCATGTATTGCAAGCACTCGGTAGATGTTAGCTATTAGCACTGCATTTTATATAGGGATATTAATAAAAGAAATGACTTGCAAAACCAAGTGAATTTTAGACACAAGGTGGGACTATAAACATTTTATTGACACACACACATTCTATTTTAGGGATTAAAATTTCTTTATTGATCAAAAATTAGCAAAGTGTACTTGAAACAAACACCTTCCCTCTCACACCTTTAAATGCACGTACCTGAATTATGCTAAAAGAGTGAGATGGAAGGAAAGAGAGAGAACAACCATGCGTCTGGGAATGTGTTATACAATAAGATCAAATAGATCTAAAGTAAATGGTGGTGAACCCTATTAGAAAGTATATGAGCTCTTTGCTGCATCTAGTACCACACATCAGTAATATCCCAGGCAGCTCACCACATTTACAAATACCCTTAGAGAGTTTAGTGTTTGTTAAAAGTGCCTTACTTCTGTTTGGTCTCTCTCATTCATAGTCTCTCTCTCATATACATATGTATGTTATATATGTGCGTATGTATGTGTCTATATATGCAATATAATGCTTATGTGCACAGTTTTCTCATTTAAGATGAAGCATAAGCAAGTCAAACTATATAGACATTTACTATTGATCTTTAATAAAAACATTAAAAATATGTCTTTTTATTCAGGACTGGACAAGCTTGCACAAAAAGGGAAATCGTTGTCCCCTTTGGCAAGTATAACTGCAGTATCACTCTTTTTAATTATATCCATGTGTCTTCTCTTCCTATGGAAAAAATATCTATCCTGCAAAGGTAGGTTAAATTTTTTTTTTTAATTTTAGTGATTTTATACATACTAAAAAATGCCTTACTGTGTTTTTTCTCTCTTGGTTTTAGTTATAAAACAGAAGCTAAAAGGCAGGTAATGTGTGTTTCTATAAAAACAATTTTTTTCTTGAATGCTTTTCCTCAATCATTATCTCTAATAGAATGCCTATTTGTCTTTTCAGGCCAGAAACAGAATACAGGAAAGCTCAAACATTTTCAGGTAATGGCCAGGCTGAAAGGAGCTATATCAATGTTAATGTTTATTAATTAATATAATCGATATTAATTAGTATATATGGTGGTCTATTGATATAAGCTGTACTGATAAAATACTAACAATCCCTTACCTTTGAACAGTGCTTTCACTGACAAAGTGTTGTCCCTTGTATTAATTTTATTTAAGTCACACAATCTGTAAAATCAGCCTGAAAGGCTCTCTTAACTCCATTTTATAGGCAAGAAACAAAGACTCAGAGAGATTAAGTCACTTGCTCACTTCACTGAGTTCCCTTGCATCGTAACCCACTGATCCATTGATTATTATAGGGTTCTCTCACTTTGTTCCCTCCTAAGGCTGATAGAATACTGTCAATTCCGCCCCCAGGAGAAGAGGAAAGGGAAGTTTGAGAGGCTTGCTGCTCCGTTGTCCCCAGCGTGTCCCTCTGCCATCACTACTGCCTCCCTGGGCTGTTATCAGTGAACAATAGGCCATTCGCTCAGACACGGAGCTGGGTTTCAGTTCCATATATGCCACTTTTCTCCAGAGTCACCTTGGGGAATTAATTATTTTTCCTGACCTCAACTTCCTCATCTATACAATAAAGATAATTGTCCTCCCTCCTTCCCCCTGGTTGCTGTAAGAATTAAATGCAAGGATGTAGATGAGATGCCTAATACAATGCCTCGATGCTTAGTAAATGTGGGTCTTCTTCCCTCATTTAGTCCTTTCTCACAATGCAGAATGCTGGAGCTAGGGAACGCCCAGAGACCATCTGGTTCCTCCCAACCACCCCACTCCCATCCTTTTGTCATTCTACAGATGACAGTTTAGGTGATAGTGTATTGTATTATGGGGGCAGCTATACTTATTTATTATCATGAGTTCTGGCAGTCTATGTTAGATAAGCAGGGTGCAGTAGACACTGTAGGTGGATTAAAAGCTGCTGTGACTGCCAGGCTGAAGTCCGTAAGTCTCTGGTAATGGAGAGTTAGAAAGGACAAGCCTACCCACATGTGTTTATTTTAATTTATAATACACTGTTCCCACACTGTTCCCACATCAGGCTTTAAGAATAACTGTTCCAACTCAGTTTCAGTTCTCAGCTTCAGAAGGAGTCGTTTCCAACACTGCTTGGTGGCACTATGACTACAGGGGTTTTGAAACGTTAAATTGGTGTTATACACATACCACTTGAAGCGAACCATAAAGATACAATGGTTTTTACAAAGACTTAAAAAAACAGCATGGCAATTCGAGGTATTTGGTTTGTAAGTAGTATTTGTTTTCCATTTCAGGCCATGAAGATGCTCTGGATGACTTTGGAATCTACGAATTCGTTGCTTTTCCAGATGCTTCTGGTGTTCCCAGGGTTGGTTTGCCTAGTGGCTGATTAGCCAAGAAGTACAATTCTGCCTCCACAGAGGTGTAAGCAGCACTCATTTAAGCACTCAGGCGGAGTGGTCAAAGGGCTGCCCACCCCTGGGCAGTACTCACTCCCTCTCTGATGAACGGCTTGCCAGGTTTGGGGACTAAGCATCTTTCTCAGCCTTTACAAACTAACACAAATAAGGAAGTTATACTAACTCACAGTCATTCTTTACCTGGCAAGCTCAGTGAAGAGAAAGCTCGGTAGGCTGAAGGTCGAGAGAACTGAATGAATTGAGCTAAGGAGACTGGTTTAATCATTCAGTATCACTTCATGACTGCAGCCTGTCACTTCACTGCACTCTGTTCCTCTGTTTCCCCTCCATTTCCTCCTCAGATCTCTTGAGGACATTGCAAAGACAACTGATCATATCTTGAACGTACTTTATGGTCTTCAGAAGAAAGGTACCATATAAACCCAAAGTATGCAGGGTACACCTCTTTGTTTTCATCCTAAAGGCACAAGAAATGTGAGAGGGGGAGCTTTTATACAGTTGAAGCCATTTTTTCAGTCTGCAAAGACAAGCTCTCTTAAAACAATCAGTCTTGCTTAACAGAATGTTTCTCTGAGCTAATCAGCTCATTAACATTTTTATAGATTTGTGCAGGACTAACCTTTCCTTTGCCTCCTTATTCCCCTATGATTGTTCACTTAAGGAAGGGGCCATAACATACCACTTGCTTCTGTGCATTTCGTTTCCTTTTTTAAAAAAGAATTCTTTGTCATTAGGTGTTGGTTGCTTTGTTAGTTCAGAGAATTCTATCCATGTGTAAGATTCGTGCAGTAAGTTTCCTGGCCACATGAGAGTAATGCCATGTGATTGGATTTCATCCTACTAAGGGTGAGTCTGTAGCACCAGGGCCCACATGGCCACAGATGGAGGGCAGGACTGCACTGCAAAGCTTTGTGATGCCCTATTCAGTCTCAGGATTGTAACTCACCCTTCACTGACATAACCAAAAAGGCAAAAATAAATATTTCAAAAAGCTTCTCACTCTGGCAGAAAGCACCCATCTCAGCCGTGGCTTTTGAACAGGACAGCAGGAAACAGAACAGCTGATAAGACTTAGAATTGAATTTTTGAAGTCAGTCAGGAGTTTCTTGGTTTAAAATAATGCAGTTTTTATTCCTAGGAATTCATTGGATACAAGTAAGATCAATATAAGAAACCTTAAAGTTAGCCTTGTGATTAATCAGTACTCAGTTTGAAAATTTTATTGGGAGGACTTGTATTTGCTCAAAATGCTACACTCAAGAACTGGGGGCAGAGAAATGAGTGCTTTGATTCCCTATCAGATGCATGGCTTGTTCTGTCCTAAGTAGAATAACTTCATTTGGAGCCATGCCCATCTTCAAAGTGCTTATGTGTGATTAGCAGCCAATTGCAATGGCTTTGAGAAGAAAAGAAATATAATAATAAAACCAAGATCTCAAAAGTGAAGCTAAGAAGGGAAGTAAGCTGAATTCATAACTTTTTGAGTTTTTTAAAAATCATAATCACCTCTTAGCTTGTGTGGTCCATGTAACAGAGGAATGCTCCTCCTCTCTCTCCTTGCCCTACACCTCACTGCCCGTTGGCACCTCTTTCAGGAGTTGGACAGCAAGTAATAGTGAACAAATTTATTACTTGGTTAACTGCTCTACTGTTAGGTGGGAGAAATTGGTTATGACCTGTAGATTGCCCTTATCAGAGCCCCTGAACACCTCCATACCAAAGAAAATCAAGAGTTATCTCTCAAGTATAAACTGTTAACCAAAAGCTCCTTGACACAAAAATGATAAGACAAATCACATATCCTGGGGCTGCCCATGGGAGCTTAGCAAGTGGAATAAAAATAGGCAGTTTCCAGAAAAGCGTAAAGCTAAGTAAGATGTGCTCACAGAACCTAGCAGGTCAAAGCTGGATGAAACAAGTATCTCTGCAGACGATTTATCAAGGCAGTGTCCGCCAGGTGGCGCTGTATAAACATGAAGGACGGACAGTGATCAGAAGTATGAAAACAGAAATAGTCTGGGTAAGAAGAGGAACCAACTTGGGCTAAATTGTTGGAAGGCAGTGTTTATAAAAAGAAGAAAATTATCAAATATAAAAATGGGAATTAATAGAATGTTGAGTGCCTATTTCAATAAAATACATGTTGGTTTTCACCAGACAGAAATACAGTACTATACTTCCTATCATCATACAAGCCTATAATTTTTTGAACCCATTACTGCATTCAAACCAACACATCTCCCTTGGTGTGTTCTGCCTGTACTTACTAGCAATGTGATGAGCATTTTTAGCTGTACATTAGTCTTTCCTCTCAGCCGTGCTGGCACACATAATTGGCAGATAGTGTCCAAAGGTCATCAAGATGTAATGTAGGGATAACATGTACTCTCTGATTCTAAGCTCTCCTGGTGTCTTCCCTTTTGCTATTTTTTCTTTTATTAGATTTCCTTCACAGTACCACCCAGCTTTTCTCTTAAATGAAGAAAAAAAGCACTAGCTTTGTCAAGCTATTGCTCTTCTGATCTCATAGCTATGCTACCACAGGGTAAGTACAGGGAACTGTGCAAGGAGGAAATGTGCACTGAGGGAAGATAATCAGTGCTGATTCTCTAATTATCACTGCTTCTGTCTGCCTTCAGCTCTGCAGCATAGCAGTACTGTTTACTAGTCTGCTAATTTTTCTTAATGTGCCACATTTTCTAGAGGCCAAGTAGGTCTGTTCCAGCTTGTGATGGCGTATCAGGACAAGATTTGCACAGTACAATTTATGAAGTTATTCAGCATATCCCTGCCCAACAGCAAGACCATCCAGAGTAAGTATGAACTTGAATTTGGTGGTGTGACTTCAGAGGGGCTCAGCATTCAGCCCCTGCTTTCCCCAGAATTTCTTGAAAGGCTCAAAAGAAAAATATTAAAACTAGAAATTAGAGCTGGGCATTTGAACATACTTCCCCATCTGAAAATAATCTTAAGAAACAAAATAGGCACACATTCAAGTGCCAAATAGGGCTGTGTGCTTGGGCTAGTGGACTAGATGCAGGGTTCCGGACTCCAGCATTTTCCCCAGTAAACCGACATCTGGGTACGAAAAGGTTCTTCAGGCCACTTCTCAAGCTTATCTTGATGGTTTTCCCGTGGCTGAGGTAGTTTTAGAGCCAGTGATCTGTCACTATAAATAGGACTAGAAAAAGAAAACTTCAAAATGTGCACAGCACTCTCACCATCAAATACCCAGCTTCTTACAGATTCAAAGTGAAGTGGTCTACTTCCAAGTGAGCAGAATCACTATGAGGACTGGCCTCACACCCACGGAGGATCAGACCTGAGCTGGGCCAAAACCAAGAAACAATTTATCCAGTTAACCTCAGGGCTGACACTAAGGAGTTACCCTACCTTCCCAGCCAAGGAGAAACAGCCTACAGCCTTCTGAAAGAATGAAATGAACTTCCCTTTTTTGTGGACTGGCGCTGCCTGCAGGCAAAACTGTCACAAATCATCTTCCATCATTCTTTATTTGTCATTTATTGACTTTGAAAAGAACATCAATAACCACACTAGGAACTTCCCCTCTGGCAAAAAAATAGTCTAGTAAAGTAACTCATGCACACCTCTGGGTAAACACCAGGAATAACAGCAAGCAGTGGCTGAATGCCTGAGAAATCGTCTTAGTGGGAGGACACCCAGCCCTGGTGGTGGTGGTGTGCAGGTGGTGGGTGGGAGGTGAATGGGTGGGGATTATGAAACCAGTTTAGGGCTCAATAAGAGGCAAGAGCCCCTCAGAAGACCCCTCCAGTACATTCCGTCTTGTGTCAGGAAACCTGGAGAAGGGGGTCAGATAAATTAGGAGCAGACCCTGACAGAGCTAGAACTTCTGGTTTAAAAAGAAAATTGTTTTAAAACATTATATTATTCATCTAGTAGAACACAAGAGTGGAATGTTATTCTGACAGTTTTAAAAAACCTAAAACGATCTAACCTTCTTTACATTCTGGAATAGAATATTAAGGCATATTTGTTTTGTTTTGTTTTGTTATGTAAACATAAGGAATAGAAAGAATTTTGAGAGTATGTCTGCTTCCTAACTTTCAGGCTGTATACAAGTAAAATATTTATCCTATTTAAATTCATTTGTTTTTCTATATGCCAATTAGAATGCAAACAAGCCAAATGAAAACTTGAGGTTTATCTTTTGAGGCTCCTGAATATGAAGTAAATGTTGATTTTAAACTGTGGAATATGGCAGCTACAATCAGAACACAAAATAAAGTGATGAGGTTGGTTTTGCATGTGAAAAAAAACAATTTTCTAAGTTAAAAAAAAATCACCCTCTGAAACTGAACTGCTTTCAGAACTAAGCAATATCTTTAGAATTTCTCAGGAATATAAAACTTTATTTCAGAGATAAACTTGGAAGGTTGAAAATAAAGCAGCAATGCTCTTTTTTGAGCACACGTAGGACTTCTATCTGCAACCGCTATTGAGGATACGCACCTTCCTCGGGCAGCGAGTCCAAGAACACCCACTCTCCCTCCAACCCCAGGGGACCTCCCATCCTGGGTCTCTCCCTCCTCACCTCCTTCATCCAGCCTTTTATTCCCCTGTGCGCATTTGTCGTCCAGCGACCCTCTTCCTTTCCCCTCGTCCTCCGGTGTCCTCTCGCTAAATCTGCCCTTCTCGCTCTCTGTAAGACTGTCTCCTTTCTATTTGCTCTTTTAAAATTTCCTCCTCTTCCAACTCATCCTAAAGAGGAACCAACAGGTTTAAAAAGTGTCATTTCTCCTTGAATACAGATACACCTCTCCTACATTAAAAAGAAAAAAAAAAAAGGAGAATGTTTTCTTTTTACTTCATCAGAAACTGTCTTGAACTTATTTTATTTACAATCACTCCAAAAACATTTCCAGGACATTAACCAAGTGCTAGGGATAGAGATTACATAAGACTCAGTCGTTTAAGGCTTTCATAGTTTATTGTGCTCCTGTTTACTTATTTTAACTAAAGACTAGTGTCCTTAGTAGTGTAAATATTCCCCAATAGAATAATATTGCCTAAACATGCAAAGAACATCTTTCTCTCCTAATTACCTATGGTTTTATTCTCTAGGCCCAATTAAATTCAAAGATCAATTTCATGAATAATGCAGTATTACAGGTGGTTAATGAAACTTTCTCATCCCTTGTGGGTAAAGAAGCATAGCTTATTACTTTTTTTACCTCTATTTGACAGTTGCTTCTGAGATAAGAAAGAGGGCCCCCCAAGATTTTTCTTTGACTCTTAGATATATAGAGTGTTCTTTTCATTATTACACGTGTCTGTTACCTAACTGGACTGGTGTCTACCCACCTGGTAAATTGACCTGTGTTCATAATCTAGTACTCAGCCTAGTTATTTGTTTACTGAATTTATGGCTGCATTTATTTAAATTCTCTCTGTTGACACCAAATGCTCTCGGCATGGTTTGTTTTGAACCCAAGACTGGCTGTTAGTATCTTAAAACAGGACATTCAAGTAAGTGAACCTTTAGTTTCAAAGGAAATTATCTACAGAATTTAGTAATTGCTTACTTTTTATACTCATTGTTTTAGAAATCTAATTTTTTAAACTAGTTCCAAACACTCATATATTTATAGTTACAGAAAGGAATAAAATAGTTTAAGGTTCTGCTATCTGTAGAACTGGAAATCTGTAGAACATTTTACATATCTTAAAACACATCTTTTCTAGGTGAGCATTGATGGACAAAGCTGTGCACTGGAGTGAAATAATGAAGGACCATTTTGAGGGAAAACAGTGGAAATGCACATTCATCCAAAATCAGTGAAGAAATCGAGCCCCATACCTCTTACTCATTACTCCTTTTAAATGAAGAATAGAGTCATTCATAAAAATTGGACTGCAGGTTTTATGGTACACACACAATGCCTTGTGCTACAGAGAAGTGTGGTGGGGGAACAGTCCTCAGTAGCCAGTCTTTATCATGATGACTTGGAGGAAAAGAAGGATGGGACTTTCCCATTGCTCTTTTTGTATCAGGTATCTCTGAAAAGCTCAATTGGGTCGAATTTGTACTTTCATTTTCATCAACATTGGCACTACCCTATCTAAGCCACAAATGTGGAAACGTCGAATTTGTAAAATTTTCAACAGGCATACTAAATTCTCATTACTGTTAAACTGGTATGTTAATTTCTTTTATTTCATTCCCATATTTCTTTCTTGCTCTTTGTGCCACAGATTAGTAAGGATGGTTGCCACAGAAGCAAGACTGCCTTCCCTAGGTTGTCAATCACCTCGATCACCGGGGGCATTTCTGAAAAGACTTACATGACACTGATGAAAATTACTTAACTAGTCTTATTTTCATTTTTTGTTCAAGGAAAGATGGTATCAAATAAATTATTCAGGTTTTGCTTTTATATGGCCTTGATTCTTTGTCTTGTAGAGTAAAAATTTACATAAAAGATTGTAGCATTAGATTTTTTTATCCTTATTTCACAATGTGCAATAAAGCGTATATTACAGAGAACTACTCGACTAAGAATCTTGCTCTCTTACAGCTGTTTTTTTTTCAGACTTGCAATTTTTACTTTATTGAATTGATTCTGGGAAGGGTCTCACCCCTTGTATATTGCTGTATTAAAAAAAAAAATCAGACCAAGTGGTAGAATGAGAAAACACCATTTTACAACCCCCAAATGAAATAACTGATTGAGATAACAATCATCATTAGGCAATAATGCTAAATAAAAGGTACCAGATAAGCTACTAAATAGCAAAGGGTCTGGTTGCAGAAACTCTGTGAAGGGCAGGTAGCTGGAGGCCTAGGAAGAAGCAGGTGTGCAAAGAGGCACGAGGCAACTGTTCAGGGTGCAGTGAGGCCCAGAGAGTGGGGACAGAATGGTCATGTGATTCTCATAGAGCTCTTGAAGACAGAAGATGAATATTTATGTTTAATGGCATTGGCTATAAACACACTAACGTGGCAAATATCACCCTTAAGTATTTCATTCCAGGCAACTAATGGTAGAAAAAACCCAAACATCCAATAATAGGGGATTTTTAAAGGACATTAGTGACATTAGATTCATATAATGGTTTACATTGCAACTATTAAAAAAAGAAAATATATAATTATATATACTGACTTTATGTCTCATGGCCTATTATTTTATATAGAAGAGAGAAATCAAAAGAATAATATTTTTTAAGTGTTTCAAGTCAGCTGTTATATTAACACTGTATCTCTCGTATTTGCAATGAAGTACACAGTTAAAAGAAAATTAAGACTAAATCCCACAATCCTTTTCTGATCTTCTTTCTCTCCCACCCTTATATACTTTTCTGCTAAAAGTCCATTAGTCCTACACAAATATTTCTTTCTGCATTTGGTTAAAAAAATTTTTTAGCTAATTAGAAAAGGAATTCATGCCCACTGTAAAATATGTATATACTTTGAAATGCAGAAAGCAACCCATAACTAAAATTGCCTGTATAGTATAGATCTTATATGTTTTCATAACAAAAAATATTTGTAATTATGTAATGTGCTGTGTTAACCTTATTGTGGTGATTATTTTACAATATATATGCATACTAAAGCATCCTATCTTCAACTTAGATAATGTTATAAGCCAATTACATCTCAATAAAACTGGAAAAATAATATAAAATCACTTATAATCTCACCTCTCAGATATAACTTGTTAGCATTTTCCTAGATTAGTTTATTGCTACTATGTTTATTCCTACTCTGAGTTCCAGAAAGGAGTTACGAATGCTCATATAAATGCATACTATAACAACATAAAGTACA